GTATGTTGTGACAAAGTCTAGTATGTCGTGATTAAAAAGTCATAGTATAGCATGTCGTCAGAAAAGAAGTTCTACCATGGTATGTCTTGACAAAAACCATAGTATAGTATGTCGTGATAGTATAGTAGGTCGTGACATAGTATTTGTTTTTTTGTTTTTTTTAATTATTATTCCTTTTCACAGCACATAGCATCACTTCTGTATTTTGCTAACTCTGTTTGACTAAAGTAGATGAACTCCATCCGTCCTGCTGCTACACACACTCATCAGTTTCTTCCTTCATGTGTTGCAGGTCCTGGTGATGGACGAGAGCTGCTGATGTGACTTACACTTCTCCTGCAGAGCCTTTTCTTTCCACACTGAGCTTTATCAAACCAAGCAAGTCTCTCCTCTGGTGGTAATTTATGGAGCAACGCACAGGTTACAGTGAGAATTTTGCAATTTGCTTATCCTTGTAATATGCTTTTCATTTCTTCAGATACTTGTGAAAAGTTATTGTGTTGGTCCAGTCCAGTTAAAGCACACTGTCAGTTTAGTTTATCTGCAGATACTACAGAAAAAAATACATTTATTGCTCATAATTCATTTTTAAAGGCACAGCTTACAACCAGCAGCTGGTTACTGTCGGAAATCTTTCTTTTAAAATATATTTTGAGCAAAAAGCGCATTATGTGTCAAATCATCTCTCCTTTCTGTAGAGTGTTTACCTAAACCTAAATTAGCAGTGAGTTATAACTGGACCGGACCAACACAATAACTGCTCATATGGATGACAAGGAATGTAAAGCATTTTGCGAGGTAACGCTTCAGTTGTCCCCACAAAAAATTCTTACCGTGACCTTTAGGGGGCTCCATATGAAATGCATCCATATCAAAGTTTGTGTTTTTTACCCGTTAACAGTGCCATCTGTTGTGCTGCAAAAAACAGAATGAACCTACAAGCCTTTTACCTACATTAATGACACGACATGTACAAGGTTCAAACACAGCTTTATTAGCATCAAGGCATGTTGTTCAGTCCATAAGTATGTTCCTTCTTACCTCACCCTGACATGTGGTCTATATCATTTCTGGTGGTAAAGAATAATTATAGCATTTTTTCATCCTGGGCCCTATTTTCTGATTTTTTGGGGTCAGAAATGTTTGAAATCTGTCCATATATTGAGCGAGAATGCTACAGTTGGCAACTACGAACAGTTAAAATGTAATCTCGTGAGGCATCCCAGTCCCAAACACAGTAGGCAGACATAGCATGGGATATCTGGAGTATTTAGAACTTCTGACTGTGTTTGGCCATCGTCGGTGGAAAGCTTAGAGCTGCTACTTCAATTACAGCTCATTTAATAATGAATTATAAAGATCTTCATATAATCTTTTCTAAACTAGCATTAATTTAGTTTTCTTGGCACGTGCATAGTTTGCACGGTCACTTGTTTTGGGCTGCTCAGTCTTGGCTTGATGACAAATTTAAGTCACCCAGAAATATATATGGCCTTAACTCTTTTTCTCACTTACGTTAAATCTTAATTTTATAGCCCTGAGTTAAATTTCTACTTGTACACTTGTGTGTCTGTGTCGCTCTGCAATTACACCTCAAAAACACTAGCTAGCTGTGGGGTTTCTGTGCCATTGTGATAAGTTTCTTCCTGCATAGGTCATGTTGGAGATGGAGTTCATAAATGTTGAACTGTTTCTTTTCTTGAAAAAACTGTATAGAGAGAAGCTGTTAGAACCAACTGAGTCTATCCATGAATTGGTAGAGCTGTGAAAACGGCATAGGGCTACTTTGGCACAATCCTGGCCCTTGTGTTTGCAGTCTGAGTAAGTCAGATACAGTTACAGCTTGTTGCTTTTGGTTTCACAGAAGTATTATTTTTGCATATATGGCATGTAGACACAACACATTACTGCCAAGCGGAGCTGTTGTTGTGCGTGTTGCCATGATGTGTCGCTGCATTTCTGTGGATGCGTACATCAGGCTGAGGTGTAGCGTATTCCCCATGCCGGCATTGTAGCCTGGCGTGCACATCCCCAGAACTGTAACTACACATCGTGGCACTGCAACAATTGTGATTTGTACAAAAGATGATGCTTCTGTTGGACAAAATGTATCTGGTTTGCTCATAGAGCAAATACAAGAGGCAGGGTAGTTGACAAGTATACACCCCGTCACCAAACCTCTACCAATCTGTGTATAGACTTAAGGGTTCTGACGCCTTCTTTATTTTTTGTGTTGCAGTATTTTACAACTGTTGTTCAACAATTATCAACCTGATCTGCTCCATTTCAGCCACAGTCGTTTGATGTACACAATGAAACTCAACACAGTGGGATAGAAACTCTATCCACTAGTGTTTCGGTGGTGTAGTTGCAGGACAACCAGCTACACAACTATAAACACTCACAACAGCGCTGCAAAGATTCAATGCACAAGTCAAGCTTTACACTTTTGTCTTCCTATAACAACTAACGCAACAACTGTCTGACGTTTCATAGTAGGTTCCTGCATTCTCACTCAGTATTGGACCGATTCCAAACAGTCCCCATAAAAAGATGTGAAAACAAAACACAGGTTGAAAAAAATACCAGAATTATCCTTTAACTTATTGAACATTTGTACATTATCATAAAATGCTAGCTTCAGTGAATTACATTGAGTTGCATCATCAAGACAAACATTTTCACATGTAGCAATAATGAATTTGGTGGAGGTTGATAAATCAGACAGTTCATTGTTGTCATCAACCCTGTTAAAGTAAAGGACACAATCTGTGCATACAATCAATCCTTGGAAATAAAAACAAACATTTTACAAGATGGATTTGCATCGTCTGTGTTTTCTGCTCACTGATTCTCTGTAGATTAACTATAGTAGGACTTTTTTTTTTTCTTTTTCCAGATAATGTTGAAAACACTAGCAGTTACTCGCTACATCCACACTGACTGTTGCTGAAACATTACTCTGAGATCTACAGTTAAAGTGTTTTTAGTGTAAAGTGACATGGCTACACAGAGGAATCTCATCAGCCCCAAATCTTCAAAATCTCCATCTGACATGTAGCAGCAGAGTAGACGTACAAAAGTAGGAACAGAAATTTAATATGAGTAAGTTTGTGGGTTTTTTTAATACTCTATATGGACTTCACTTAACATTAACATCTCTAATTGGCTAAATCAGATGTGAAGGACATTTTTAAACAAACAGTTCCAGGAACTAAAGCTCGCTGGGTGTTTCCACTGCAGGAACGTCATTGGTTTTAAACAGCAGAAAGTAGCCGACATACATAAATACCAGGGACCGCTTTGATTGTTTCATAGTGGAATTTCTGCACAATCCAGTATAAATATATTCACTCTGCACCACCTGGTAAAGAGTGAGGGAGTTCAGACTCAGCTTTACTAACCCGTCAGAACATAGAAGGATTTACAACTAAAAAAGGTGAATGTGAGAAAAAAAAAAACCTGGCATGTTTCTGGTAAAAAATAAAGACATAAATATTTAATTGTGTTCATGATTTTTGGTGTCAACATAAATAAAAGAGAACATACTAATTAGATCATCTGTTGTGGAGATTTCAGTCTCCCCTTCCTTCACTTTTACATCCAACTTAATTATTGGTGTTGTTTCCTTCCCCCGTCATCACTTTTTAATTTGTTTTCAGTCTTTTTTGACTTAACGTCTGGGTTTTTAGATGCAGTGGAAACCCAAACAGGAATGAGTCAAATGAACACAAGTTAACAACAGTCTCTAAACTATAAAACTCCCAGCAGAGTGTCTACTATTGAATTTAATCTTTAAACATCAAAGTCTAATTCAGCTAAATGTGAAACACAAACAGGACTTTAGTTCCCAGTTTAGCTCCTGTAGTTCCTGAAGCTGTTCAGTCAAAAATGGCCACAAGTCCTCAGACAGAGCACAGAACAAGCCCGTTACTGTTACATGCTGTGTTGTGATGAGCTTAGTTAACAACATTGAACATTATTTAGACTAACCCAGTAAACTCTGTAATGACTTGAGGTTTCCATCCGGCTGATTTCTGCGTCCGTTCGTCTACGCTGTTGTAACGGTGGGTTTGGGATCAGGATCTCTGGGTGTCACTCTCAGTGTGGATGGAGGTGAAGCGAAGCAGCGTCGATACCTCCTCTCAGACCTCCGTTTTGTTGGCGGCGTCGCTGCGAGTGATGATCTTGTAGACGCTCTCTCTGAAGTTGCTGTCGGAGGTCAGCCTTCGAGCCGTCTCCCTCAGCTCCTCCATGCTGCCGCCGTCAGCGTTGGCCACCGCGAACGACTTGGAGTGTTTCACTGCAGAGAGCCAGAGGAACGAGGAGAACACACTCAAACATAGTGAATCATTTAACAAGTAGAAATGACAACAAGATGAGGCAACGTGTTGCTTTGTCTCTGTTTTGATCAGTGCTGAGTGAGTGTCAGCATTTTGGACTCTTGGTTGGGCAACAAAAAATGAAAAACAAATCTCCAGCTGCAGCTCCAAAGGCAACAGATTTATTTTGTGCTGTTTCAATCTGTAGTCCTATATTCCCAAAAAGATCATCAATATTCTGATAAAGCAGCTACAGCAAGGCTTTGACTACCACTACTATTATAGAGCCTATGACTGTGTAAAAAAATAACTGTCGATAACAGTGCCAGATAAAAACCTTGAAAAATGGCAAAATACTGTAGCCTTAAAAAATAAAAAAAAAATTAAAAAAAAGACACAGTGTAGCTGTATGGTCACATACTGCAAAAGAAGAAATGACTTTATGTAAAAATACATCATCATTTTGATGTGGACATTATGCACAATTTTGGATTTTAAAAAAATGTCAGCAAGTAATTTAATATTTTTCGGTGTGATTTCAATCTGTAAAATAACAGTAAATTGTTAAAGACACTGGTGTACAACCACATTCAATAGTCCAGCTTCTAATATCAAAATTGCAACTTGTGGTAAAACCAGCTACTGTAACTGGTAGAGGACATGTAGGAGAGTCTGAAGTCAACTGGGTCTTGGTCTAATGACACCAAAATTTTAACTATTGTGTTCCCCATCAAGCTCGATGCTACATTTGGCCAACACCAAACACTGCACATCATCACAAACACACCACTGTGCAGCATGGTGGTGGCAGCATCATGACAATGATGATGATTGAGACCTGTCCACACAAGCTCAGTGCTGCAATTGAGGCCAAAGGTTGCATCGACTAAACACTGAGTTGAAGGGGGGGAATACTTTGGATTTTGAACTTTTTATTAATTGGCATTACTTTGTAGAAATCAGTTTTCTGTTGATGTGAAAGAGTCTTTATTTGTGAACTCTTGTGAAAAAAGCCAAGTTAAATTGACCATGATTCAATGTTGAAAAGCAGTAAAAGGGGAAAACTTCCAAGTAGAATACTTTCTATTAGGCCTGCACGTCTACAGATTTAGATCTCCACAAAGCTCAAAGTGGACTTTTCCTTTGTTTAGAATCAAACCAATACTATCAGTTGATAATATTGCTAACCCTGCTATTACTTTTTGTACCTAAAAGTTACAATAATGTTAATAATCCAACAAACATCTGAAGAATTTAACGCAGTAAAATGATTAAAATGTAAACGTAGCCTTTGGATTTAATCATGAAACATGTTGTCGGTGTGTGTTGTGTTGACCATTGTGTGTTGTGTTGACCATTGTGTGTTACGTGATGCTCAGACTCACACCAGTGGCGTCTGGAGGCCCTCCTCTGGATTCGACAGCTCTTGATTCTGCGTGCAGCAGCTTTGTGAAGATACACAGCGTTCTTCATTATCGCCGGCAGCTTCGCCTCGATCTCGGCTGCACAGATACACTCCTCAAAGAACTCTGGATAAAACACACACACAGATAGACGTCATATATACTCAGATACATATCATTTATATACGTCTGCTGAAAATAAAAAAAGCCTGTCATGGGAATAACAGCGCTGACAGTTGTGCTGCGTTCAGGTGCTGTGGGAGTGAAGATAATGATGACGGCTGCCAACTCTCTTGAGCTGCTGTTAGTAGAAAATGTTTACTATATATAAATACTACTAATGGCCACGATACACAATGAATTTAACTTAAACAAAGTGAACACTGAGCAGACATTGCAGACCTGGACGTGACAAAGTATTGTGCCACTTCAATACAGCACTTTATCTATTAAACGTCTGCAATTTATGACACTAAGACAATAGATTTAAGCTGATGTTTGCAAATGATCGGTTGATTTTTAGCAGCAAGGCAAATGTATTGGTGCTTTTAGAAAAATGTGACTTTTCCAGTCAGAGTTACGTCTCATTGTTGACACTCAGTTGACAGATTAGTTCTCATTGAAAGTTTGGAAACAACAAAAATAATATTTGGGGCAGTGATGGTCTGAAATTATGAATGGAGAGAGAAACTTCTTTAAAAAGTACGTTGCTTCCTACGTATGTCTAGGATTTATTTTATTTTTTTTTTTTAAATCTGTTGTTTTTTTCCTTATTTGCCTTAAAAATCTGCTGGTTCTCATTTATTTAAAATCTTATGCGAAGACTTTACTGACAAGCTGTTTACTTGCTGTCATTCATCAGTGAGTGTAAATGCAGGGTGTGGAACAGAGGAGAGCCCGTCTTAATGAGGCCTTTTTCATCTTACTTTTGGAAACCAAAAAATGAAATAATTGTCTTCAACATAATTATAATCAGCAATCAAGAGAACTACTAGTGTTACTGAAATAAACAGCATTCATCTCTCCTCAATGCTCTCTAAACCTCTGTAATGTTGAAATATGCACAGCAGCAGCTACTTTTCTTCTGTTTTCTTATTATTCATAGTTTTATTGATAGTAATAATTAAAACTACATCAGTTGTTTCATGTGTTTGATGTCCTATCTGTCATTTAAGCAACAAACTACTACGTCAGTATTAAAAGTTTGTCTTGACTCACTCACATGTATATAAAGATAATAAATGGTCATATTAATCTGATTCTAAATTAAAGAAGACAGATCTCATTTATCGCTGCACCTACTAGATCTCTCACTAGAACATGTGCAGAAATCCTTCATCCTGACTGAGACTGTTTCTGCTGCTGAAAACCAAACATGTGCCACATTTATCCATGAATCCGGCCTTTCTGCTGTCAGTGAACTACAGCGACCAGCCAACCAGCATCAGGAGGTGAACTCACTCCTCAGCTGAGTCACGTCTCCCTTCATCTTCTCGTCTCTCTCTTTGCTTCGCTCCACTGAGTTCAGGCCTTTCTCCAGGTTCAGCAGAGCCTCCTCGGCCTCCTTCAGCCTTTTCTCCAGCTCCACCCGAGACTCGATCTCCGCCTGCAGCACCCAGGAAAGTTTGTTTAAGACCCGGATTAGATCGACATACCGTAAAGAAAACACTCAGGAGGCAGAAAGCAGAATGAATGTAACGTGTCTATAAAAAAACTGTTGTATGTTTAATCTAAGACTGTTGAATTTAAACAGAATAAAGACTGATGGTTGTTAGCTGAAGTCATCACTTTACATGGGCCTGAACTGTAAAAAAAAATAGGTAAAATAAATGGTATTTACATTCAGTGTCATTGTGCACACGCTGTAAAAAAAAATACTATTTGTAAAAATACAGATTTACTAGTTATTATTTGTAATTTAACAAAAAACGGGGAAAAAAATAAGTTTAAAATGATTTAACCCATTTTTCAATCCTTGATATACCTCATTTTTATTTAAATTAATTGCAAAAATCTGTAAAAAGGCATTTTTTGCTACTTTAAATACATAAAACAGTGTAATTCTATGGTTGAATGTTGGGGGGAAAAATGTAAAAATCAACTTGAGTTACTGACATAAATTGAATTTCAATCTCATAACGTGAATTTGAATCATATAAAAGTTGAAACTGTGTTCCAATGTTCATTCATTCATTTATTCATTTATTTATTTATTTAGTTAGTTAGTTAGTTAGTTAGTTAGTTAGTTAGTCTGCTCTCCTGTTTACCTGAAAACTTTCTGATACTGTAAAAGTTTTTCCTGCACATTTCCTTTTTCACAGATTTCTGACCAACTCCAAGCTTTTGGGTTGCAGATAAATGTGGTCAGAATCATCAGAATCACAACTCCTTATATTTAAACAGCAGACTGGACATGAATATATGTATTTATTATATATAAACAAGGGAAATGTATCTGAATAATATATGCACAGAAATATACATGAGTCGTTCCAAACAGAGTAAAGTTATGAAGTGATATTAGTGCAGGTGAGGTAGATGAGGACAGTGTGTCTGAGTCTAGATTCATCCTCATCAAACACATTTAACTTAATTAGAGTTTGGGGATTTTGTGTTTTTCATCTTTTGACTTTTCATCACCCCTGGCAACAAAACTCAATGTAAAAAAAACCCTCAACAACCAAAGTGTGTGCGCTGATTCATGCGGTGACCTCTTGAAGGTGTTCGGCTGCTGTGGCTGCAGGCCGACAGCAGCTGAGTCACTCCGTTACCTTCAGCTCGGCTTCGGTCTGCTGTTTGTCCACAGTGAGCTGAGAGAGCGACTGCTGCAGCGTCCGAGCCTCAGACGAGTAGTACTCTCTCTCCTGCTGCAGGACCGAAGCTCGCTGCTCGTTCTGCCTCAGCCTGGACCACACAGACACCAAAAACAGAGCACAAAACACATCAGAACAGTAAAACAAATGTACATATTCCTGCCCTATTTATGCAGCTGTCCTGACATTTGAACATTGTTGAAGAACCGTGAGATTAAAGTGACGGTTCTTTGTTGCAGACAAAACATTTGGGGGTTTTCAGACTTCACAGTCAGCGATGCTTCCGTGAGTTTCCTCTTCGCTCCGGGCTGCAGAGATCGAGGTCACGCTGTGCTGGCTGAGCTCGACAGGAGACACATGAATGCACAGCGACACGCACCTGCAAAGTCATTGCAATGACAAAGAAGTAGACAACTGTATTTTAAAGGCAGCATGTAGCAACTGTTAAAGGAATAGCTGCAGATCAGAGGAAAGAAGATTTTTTCTTCCTTTACACACAGTGATTTATAATTTATTTTAAATCAAAACGATGGTTTTTGAGATTTACAGGCTAGCTGTTTCCACTGTTTCCAAAACTAATGCTAAGCTAAGCTAATCAGATATGTGAGTGTTGATTGTTTTACATTTATATCTCCACCAGAAAGCAAATATGTCCATCCTTCCATTGTCTATGCACAGCTTAATCCTCACTAGGGTCATGGGGGGCTGGAGTCTATCCCAGCTGACTCAGGGTGAAGACAGGGGACACCCTGGACAGGTCACCAGTCTATCACAGGGCTACACTTAGAGACAGACAACCAAGAACACTCACATTCACACCTACGGACAATTTAGAATCACTAATTAACCTCAACATGTTTTTGGACTGTGTGGGAGGAAGCTGGAGAACCCGGAGAGAACCCACGCTGCACGGGGAGAACATGGAGACTCCACGCAGATCGCGGGTGTCCTCACTGGGACGCGAACCGGCGACCTTCTAGCTTCGAGGTGCTAACCACTGAGCCACCTTGCAGCCGAAGCATATATGTGCATTTTAACATGTGTCGACCTTTTCCTTTCAGATTAATTTTATCCTAAATTAGTATTTGACTGAATACCTGATGGGTTTTTTATTTTTTATATTTTATGGGTTCTTCCATCTTAAATCATCAGAGTCCTTCTGCTTGACCATCTGTGGTTTGCTTGAGGCTTTTTATCATAAACGAATGACATTTAAATCTGTACTTTCCAAGACAGTTTTTTTAACAAACTGTCCTTCGACCCACTTTTAACGATTAAAAATAAACATTTTTTCTCACCATGACTTTGATCCAGAATCGACTTTATTAAGCAAGGAGGTCAAATAATCTTTTTCTATCAATGTGTGAAAAACCTGCAAAAAGTGGGTCGATTTTTATCTTTAAAATTATTCTCTATATCAACATGATAATTCTGCCTGTTCATGATGTTCTCTCCAAACGACGCCTCGTCTGAGGACTGAGACGAGGAGAATGAAGGCCGAGGTTGTTGGTGGCGTTCGGAGCTGAACATTAGTGCTGCACAGTCGATAACAGCTGCCTGTAATATCCCACTTACTGCTGCCGATCGATGAGCTGGTTGTTTCAGGATCAATACACATTTCCACTAGTAGTTACGTCCTCTGTGCCATTAGCATAGAGGTTCCCTGGAAAGACCGGAGAGGCTGATTTACAGTCGCAAATACAGTCGAAAATGCAGAGTAACTCCTCAGAGGTTGGAGAATGATCTGTTTTTAGTTGTACGCAAAAGATCATTTCTCATATTTAAACCAACACACACACTCATGTGGCCTCATTCTAGATATTATAATTGCGTTTTAATAGAAATGCTATCAGACGGAATACATATTTTCTGTAGCTCTTCTACTTGATACGGACATTAAGTATTTTAATAATCCTCTTTAAAATACCCAATATGTGCCAAGAGCAAGCTGTCCTTAAAAACCAAGTGACTGAGCAAGAAAGAAACTCTTGAGAGAGACCACCAGGACACCTATGACTCCCTCTGAAGGAGTCAGAGCAGCTGAGACAGGAGAAACTGTGGTAGAGTGGCAAAGAGAAAGTCACCGCTGGAAAAATCTCACGTTAAATCTCGACTAGAGTTCTCCAGAAGGCTTGTTGGAGACTCTGAAGTCTGGATTAGCTGCTGTGCTGATACAGTCGTACCTCTTGCTGCCAGAGGAGACGGTCACCGGGACATTGTGGAGGTTCAGCTGGTGAAGGAAACCACGACAGACTTCTGTGATGCTTAATGACTCGTATGTTTGAGGTCAACTGGAACCGACTAGGACAGCATCTATATATTCCAGTGACATATATAACACAGCTGCCGGAACACATGTCTGTCGACTAAATCCAGACGAACGACTGCTGGGCTCAGTCTGTGTTATTAATGAATCAATTATTGACTGATGAGGCTGTGTGACGGCGAACACAAACAAAGCATCGGGTTGGGTTTGTGTCGATACCGATCAGTTAAAAAGTGCCGTCCCTGTCTTTACAATGGAAACCAGACGCCCCTGATCCCAACAGAACACCGGCCTCCTCCTGCTGATGGGTTTATCAGACGATTCCAATCAGCTAAAAGAGATTTTTTTCTTCCTTCGAGGAACCCTGTGCCCTGTTAGAGGATGTGAGAATAAACACATGACCAGCTGCCAGTACTCCCAGTCTGGTTGGTCTCCGAGCCGTTACTCACTTGTCCTCAGCCAGCTCCTTCTCCTTCAGCAGGACCTTCATCTGCTCCTCGATGTGTCGCAGGTCCTGCAGCAGGTCGACGTCCTGGAGCTCCTCGCCGTCGTCCCTCGGAGCCGAGTTCTCCTCGTCCTGAGCCTCCTTCTCCTCCGGATCCTTCACGCCGAGCAGCTCCAGAGTTCGCTGCTTCTCCTGAGAGAGCTCCTGAAGGAGAGAAAACAGGAAAGAGTCACATCACAGTGACTCCTGTTCATCTATAAAGTCTCTGCTGCTGAGGATGATAAACTAGCATCACTGTCAGTTTGACCTTCTACTTTTCTACTCTTGTCCTACATTAGCTTAGTTTTTATTTTCAGTAACGTATCATCCTTGTTGTTTTTCTCTCATTTCTGATGTTAGTGTCATTTTGTTTCTTGAGGAACATCTGGCAAAATAAACATTTGACATTGAACACAGCATTTTATCTTATCTTAATGTAATAATAGCTGGTGTTCAGTTTATGACTTTAACAAGGAGATGAGTTCAAACCTCACCTCGAGGTCCACTTAAAGGGGACACAGCTGAAAGTTCAGGAACAAACTTGCATGTAAGTAGACTTTGAGTGAACGTTAGGAAGCTTTAAATACTTTACCCTGATGACAAATTCATTTTTTCACGCATTCTTTTCAGCCAAAATCAACATTTATGACTGAATGAGAGATTGACAGTGAACACATTTCATAGCTATTCTGTATTCATGAATACAGTGTGAGTTCAGTTTTAAATGTATAGGAAAGGTTTATGCTTAAATCAGTTAGATACCATATAACACTAAAGTGAAAGTCATATTTGAGATTAATCTTAACTCTGAGGCAGAAACATCTTTCTATTAAATAGTTTTTTTTTTTTTTTAATTTGATGTACTTATATATTTTCTTCAAACCTAAATGTCTTAACAAGGGTCAGATGATAAGATCAGTATCACACTTGGGTCATGAACAGATTAATATTTGTCCTGAAAATGAGATTTTCTCTATTCTGGGAGCAGAAGCACTTTATCCTGAGTAACTGACTTGTTCTAACTTGTTTGACTTGTGAACTGACCTTTTTGTTTTAACTGTCTATGAGTCTATGAACAGCTTTACTAAATTCAGACTTTATTTCCTCTCATGATGCGTACACAAAGATTCGTGTATCAGAACAAACAAGGCACAGATCGGTGGCAAACTGATGGAAAAGCCTGAATGCTGGACCCCTGCAGTGAGGACATCTGTCATCCTCCTCCAGCATCTTGGATTTCAGAAAAACATCTCAGACAGCACTTTCCACAGTCTTTTGGAAATAGAGTTCCACAGACTTGGAAAATCAATCCAGAGCTGCATTAAAGAAGCTTTAATGAGAAACTTTATGTTGATTTTTCCTTTAGTTTGTCGCCCGTGTGTTTGAGCTGTTTCTGCTGAGCTTCATATTCACCAGACGGACATGAGAGTGGTATCGATCTAACGAGAGTATTTCCTAAAATGTCAAACCGGTGCTCTACTGTAACATTTGACTCGTGTTCTGAGTGTGATCCCTCCACGGGGAGCTTCATCGATCTCACATTAGCAGGGTAATTGAACCTCAAGGCCCTGTTACGCAACTTATTGCATCAGCAGCTGTAAGATCGAGTCCTTTGTAGCTCATCGATAACTCGACGTGTGTCACTGATCCACACAAAGATGTTTCAACAGAGTCGAGTGTTGTTGTTTTTTCTTTTAAATACCTCGATGGATTTCTGCAGCGTCACAGTTAAGCTGCTCAGCTCTTCCTTCTCACGTTCGACACCTTTCAGGGACTGAGCGGTGCCGTCCAGGTCTCTGCCGTCAACAAAAAAAACACAAACCACATGAGTCTCGTACAGCATCGTCAGCGGCGTTAACAGAAAACGGCAGCGTGTCCTTACAGTTTGATCTGCTCCTGCTCCGCCTTCAGCTCCAGAACCACCTCCTCGAACTTCATCTTCTCGTCCTCCAGGACCTGGTTCAGGCGCTCCAGCTCCTGAGACGAACACAAAGGGAGCATTTCAGCGCAGATTAAAAAACCTGAATAAGTGAATAACATACCAGCTGAGCACTCAACTAGTTCTCATATAGTTCTGAATATCTCCAGCTGTATATAAAGCGCCTTATTACAAAACTTATCCATCACACAAACAACTCTGAATATGTAAGAATCACAGCAAAGTCCATATACTATATTATTATAATTTAAACTGGCACTTCGACAAAATGATTTAAACAAATCTCCAAATTCTGGGTTTGTTATTAAATCCAGTGTCCACAAACATAACTAAGTCTCACCTCTCTCTGCGCCCTCTGATGACTGAGCTCCTCGGTTTCTTCCATCAGTTTATCTGGAAGGATAAATAAAAGATTTCCCATGACCTGCCTCCTCCTTAAACCCGTGAAGAGCTCATTTGTTCTCATGTTTACCCAGATATTCCTGCTTCTCCTTGGCCAGCTGCAGCCCCTGAGCCTCCAGACTCTCGATCATGGCCTCCCCCAGCTGGGCGTTCCTCCACGTTCTGACGGATTATCAGTAAAATTACAACCTCTAAACACTTTGATAAAGGTGTAGCTGACAGATAGAGTTCATTTCATATAAAGAAGAAGTCCTTTGCTTTTAAAATCTCAATAAAGCTGCTACAATCACATGAAGAATGGGCTGTAACTGTTGTTTCTGCACATTTCAAAAGACAGTTTTCCTCACACTTTGCCCGACTCCTGGATCATCTCCATCCACTGGACCTGCTCCTCCTCAGACTCAGCAGCCAGAACTATGGTGCCCTGGGGGACGACACACAGTAGTTTACATCAGCGTTTTGTCAATAAGGGCTTCAGGCTGTAAAACAAACAGTGAGTTTCCATCTTTGGGTTGCAGAGGCTGTAAAAACTGATGACTGTGTGTCTCTGTGCAGTTCAGGTGAATCTGTGAGGCTAATTTCTGACATCTTTACACCTTTAAGAGCCCAATTAAAGCTTAAATAATGTCACTGTGTCTCTGCAGGACTGTTCCTTCAATTATTACGATTGTTTATGCATAAATGTGTAGCTGCATATTGTCCGTCTGCCCAAATCTACCTTCAAAATTAAACGTTTAATGACTATAATTAAGACTAGTTTAGAGTGTGAAGTACATTTGATTAGTTGTTTGGTCTATAAAATGATAGAAAACTGTGAAAAATGTCAATCAGAGTTTCTCAAAGCCCAAATGATGTCTTCAAAGGTAATATTTTGTCCACAACCCAGATATATTCACTTTACTGTCATAGAGGAGGAAAAAAACGAGAAAATTCAAGAAGCAGAAATCAGAGAATTTGAAAGTTTCTTCTTAAAAAAACAACTCAAACCAGGTTCATTGATAATCAGAACAGTCGACAATTAATTTAAAAGTTAATAAACAACTGAATGATTGATTAAAGCAGCTCTAAATGGGTTAATTAGCCAGCACAGACTCATTATCAACATTCATGTCATTACTGTGAACTTCGAACTTTGGTCACTTTTTTTTTTTTTTTAAAGACTTATTTTTGGCCTTTTCCAGCTTTATTGACAGCGACAGTGAAAGACAGACAGAGAAACGTGGGGGAATGACATGCAGCAAATGAGCCGCTGGGTGGAATCGAACCCGGGCCATTGCGTCGGGGACTATAGCCCCTGTACATAGGTCACCTGCCCATGTACCCACTGAGCTATCCAGGCACTGAACTTCAGTCACTTTTAGCTCTGAGTTTGTTCTCCACCAGCACCATGGGGAAATATCAGGGTTTTTAGTCTCTAAATGCTTCAAAGCAGGAACCACCACAAGCTAAAGTTAAAGTTGGCATTAAAGAAACACAATAGCTAGTTGTGATCATAGTCTATTTATATAAAAAATTAATGGACGTCACCCATTGGTTTGTGAACAACTGTACTGAAGCACCGATTTACTGACTATTTTCTATCTCTAGTCTATTCTACTCTATTTTAATCTAAACAGGACCATAATTTACAGAATGCACACCATGTTGTATTGAAGAAGACTTGAAACCAGCAATCGAGACCATAAAATCATTAAGAAACTGTTTACTGAGGTAACAAATCAAGCAAGAAAGAGACATTTTCTAATCATTTCTACACAATTAGACTTATTTTTGTGACCAGAGGAGTCGCCACCTGCTGGCTGGTAGACAGAATGCAACTTTACAGCATTTAGAAGAATAGAATAGAATAGAATAGAATAGAATAGAATAGAATAGAACTTTATTGATCCCTTTGGTGGAAACCTCAGGGAAATTGCTGAATTTCCACATTTGCATCACTTTTCAGACTCCAAGGCTGCATCCATCTTTGTATATATTCTCTGGGTAGCCAATTCAAGCAATAACAAGCCAATTAAAGTGCTAACTCTGTAGATTTATCTCCTTTTGTGGCCTTTTTTTACATATGTTTTCATGTTATAGCTGCTTCAGACTTCTCTAAATCTAATAAATGATGAGATACAGTTTCCTGTGCGTGAGCGACAGGATCATGTTCTTACAGTAAAGTCTTCCAGGTTGATCACGATAGCGAAAGGCATCCCCATGTCCTCGTTCGACGACACCACACATCCTCCCAAAGGAATGACTCCCTGAGACATGAGCAAAATGTGATCAGTCACCTTCTAGTTATAGCAGCAAATTATAGCACAAGTTTGTTTTATGGCACTTTGTTTGATAATAAAAAGGTGCATAAAGCATGAAAACAAGCACAAATCCTCCAGCTTTCTGCTCTGTTTTCTTACACGTCATCAGAGAAGGTGCAGTAGCTCACCTTTGGGTGGATGTTGAAGTACCTGTTGGTCTCGAAGCTTCTCTTCTCGCTTTCTGCATAGTAGAGCAAGAAGCTGTCTTTGATGATGAAGAATCTTTGAACCGAGGAAGACAAAGAGAGCAGCAGTGAGTCAGTCCTGTGGAGCTGAAAGGAACCGACGACTGCAGATGTTCTCAAAACATAACTGATGGGCTGTTTCCTATTTCAGCGAGTTCAGCACAGTCCACTGTTTTATTCTATCATGAAAAATGTGAACATTCCTGCTCTTGTCACATTTTTACTCACTGTGGGATCATTTTTTCACTGCAATATAAAATCCTGCACCTCTATGGAAACAACACAACCATGACTAGACGTAAAGAGAACTCAGAAATGTCTTTTGTGCTTTATGACACAGCAATAATACTATAAATCAATAAAAAAAGAAAAAAAAAACTGTCAAATTTCTGTGATTATTTATTATTTAAAAATGTAAAAACCCTGGGATCAACATGTACAACATTTTTTTAAAGTCCCTAAAAGTGTTACCAACACCAGCGATAAAGGCAGCCTTACAAACTATAAATATTTCACTACTTACACTTTTAATTCTTCATACTTGTCTCCTATCTGCTCTGTGTGAACACTGCCTGCAGTTCAGCCGCAAAGTTCCTGAATTTTTGCCACGTGACTTTTGGTCAGAGCTGAGTCACTAAGGGCTTCATGATTGTGCTGAGAATTGCAAATTTATTTATTTTATTTATTTATTTATTTATTTATTTACAGAATCTAATAAGAGCAAACTATTTATTTTTGGTGATTTTTTTTTTAGTGAGACATGTAGAAAAAAGTGTTTTTGATGAAAATATCTTGATTTTAAGTTTGAATTGGTTCATGTTTCTGATGGAACGAGAAGCCAAGTGACAGCTAACTAGTTCTAACAAGTTTTGACAGCTTCTGGGTCTGACAACTGATGTAATTTTGGCTATTTATTTTTTTATTATTATTAGGACAACATGCCCTTCAAATGTGCCTACTGGTTTCAGAGGGTTAAAAAAAAAAAATCTTAAAAATATCAAAAACACACAAAAAGACAACAGATTGCTAATGAAAGTACAAAACCTCACACCTAAAATCATCACATTTTGCAATTCTGCTTCAAAAACTTAAAGTATTCATGGATTGTCAAAATTGATGTAGATTTTCTGGGGGATTAATCATAGGTTCTGGTTCGGGTGCATGATTTATCAAACTGTATTAAAAGTCTGTGACAACTTTAAAATCTGAAGCTTTTCTCAGTAAGATAAAATACTCAACAAAAGGTTTGTTTTTGGCGAATTTTTAGAAGACGTAATATTGATTAAATATCACAATTTTTTTTTTAAAGTTATATGTTTGGCCTTTATTGGATAGTGTTATTAAGAGAGACAGGAAAGTAGGGGAGAAGACATGTGGGAAAGGGTCATGAGCGGGATTCGAACTCATGACCTCCACATTGGGACTGTAGCCCTACATGTGGGACACCAGCTCAACCAGGTGAGCTATAGTGGAGCCCCTAAACATCACAGTTTTAAGCTTAGATCTGGTTCCCAACTGAACTGCACGTCACAGGACGATCGTAACTGAATAATCTTTCTGTTTTTAACAGTTTCTGGCTGATAAATGCTGTAGTTTTAGCGATGCTTTTGAGGAAGACATGCCTTCAAACTCACTTAGTTTTGGGGTTCAGAGGGTTAAAGGGTTGTTGTACATTTCTAGTGTTTCATGTATAATCTGCATCCTCCTGTTCATCTTTACGGTTGCAGCATTGTATCAAATGGTGATATTTCGGTCACTTTTTGTATAATTTTACACGCATTTTCCAAAATGGATGCAGAAATATTTGGCATCGTTTGAGGAAATCAAGTCTTCTGCCTTTGAACAGCTTTCCTCTGACCCACTGTTGGAGCTAAAGAGCTCCAATAACAAGTGACCAATACAGTTCATCCTCCTAAAGAGCTGCTGTATCGTTTAAACTTGTGCATTAATCCAAATATTAAAGCAATTTTCCTGCACACCACAGGTCTGATCCCAGCATGCAGAGGTGGATGATCCTTGTTTTCAAATTTGTTGACACTAAGTAAAGGTAGTTTGTGCTAAATGTATAACATTTATTGAGACTGTTTCACCAGTGCAAATATAATGAGCATTCTGCAGGAGTCTACCTTGCACTTTCTGTCCACCTGAGAGCTCAGACAAGACTATTTTTCTATTTTGTTTTAATATACAGCTCATATCTTCAATATTAACAACCAATAAAACCAGTTTTATTTGAAATATTGTTCTGGTCTCAGAAATCCATATTGGTCTCTGCTAACCAAAGGTCTATAAAACAAAAAGATCTGTAACTAAGAGGTGTTGAACTAAAAGTCACAATCAAAATGTGAGCTGTCAGCGCCACTGATGATGCAAACTGGATGGACAGAGCGTCTTCTTGATGACTGGATGGAGGCTGATTGCATAATTGAATCATTAAATCAACTCGAAAACTAAGATATCAGCAGAGACAACAAAATTAGAAAATTACTGATTTAAAACTTAAATGAGTGGTGATCTCATTTCAGAATTGGAGCTGCAAAAGCTGGAATGTTCTGACTTTTAGTTCTTAGTTAGAGGACATCCTACATTTCCCACAATGCACCCTAAAAGTTGAAAGTTTAAAAAGGCTCCTGACTGCTTTCACATTTAAAGTCTCCACATTTCCGCGCTCTGGATTGCAGAATTATATCAAACAAGTGCCTCTTTTCAATTAAGCTGGTAAAAAAAAAAACTGAGCTCAACGTTTCTCTGTTTGGCGCACGAACCCAAACGAGGAACAGAACCAAAGTGTGACGACCTTCGTGACACAAGCAAATGTGAGAGGCTGCAAAGAGAGAGAGAGAGAGAGAGAGAGAGCGCTGCAAATGGACTCTTTGGATGCGCCGTGTATTGTCGTTTTAACTGTTATGTAAACTAAGAGCATTATCGTGACATAAGGTACCAATCCAGGCATTTTAACCAAACATACACTCCGACCAGGACGCACAGATGTGGACGTGGGCATCCTGTTGTTATGTAAAGCAATCCTGTAACGCACAACATGTCAACATACACTCAGCACAGATTACAAGATTTAGCAATTAGGAACTTAAAGCGCTCGTATGAATCATTTCCTGTCATTTGTGATATTCTAAAGGCCTGCAGATGTTTTCAGCTGCAGCCGTAAGTAGGATAATGATGTTTTATAGCCGTAATATCAGATAAACAGTCAATTACAGCACATATTTACTATCAGGTTTGTCTCTGACACCTGTTTTTTTCCATATTTTGTTGCTGTTAAACTGCATAAAGGCATCTTTTTTAAGGTGAATCTTTGTCCAAAATAAACCATCCGCAAGTTTTGTAGTTGGTTTTATATGCAGGAAAAAGCTCAAATTTTACCAACAAGTCTGCAGACGTAACTCCTATAATGATAATTTATGGCTGTAATATGATTTAAATAGTCAATAACAGCATATATTAACTTTTTAGGTTACTCTTTGATACTTGTTGGGAGAAAAATGCACCGTTTTCTCCACATTTTGTTGCTTTCAATCTGCAAAAAGGCAAGTTTTACAAGGCTCAACAAAAAGAGGATTTCTCCTACAACAAACCTGCTTCATAGAGTCCATCCACAAGCTTTTCTGTTGGTTTTATACGCAGCAAAAAAAGGCAGAGTTTTACCCTCCAGACTGCAGCCACAAGTAGTACAATGATATTTTATAGCTGTAATATCAAATAAATAGTCAGTTACGGAAGATAGTTACTTTTTATGGTTAGATTTTTGATACTTGCTGGGAGAAAAATGTATTTTTTTTTCACAATAATGTACATTTTGTTGCTTTCAAATTGCAAAAAGGCAACTTCAAAGATAAACCTGATTTTCTAGAGTCCATCCACAAGCTTTTCAGTTGGTAGTAAAAGGGTAGAAATGTACCCCCTAAGTCTGCAGCCGTAAGTAGTATAATGATATTTTATAGCTGTAATATCAAATAATGGTCAATTACAGCAGATATTTATTGTTAGGTTAGTCTTTGTTGCTTTCAAACTTCAAGCTTTCAAACAAAAATGTTTCTTCTAAGATTAAGCTGCTTTTCAGCATCCATCAACAAGCTTTTCAGTTGGTTTTATAAGCTTTAAAAAGGCTGAAACTCTAACAGAATAATCCCCATTTTGTTCTGTTTGAACAGCAAAAAAGCAACTTTTTTTAAAGACTGCACAAAAAGGTGATTTCTTCTAACATGAACCTGCTTTTTAAAGTCCATCCACAAGCTCTGAAGTTGTTTTTTAAGCAGCGCAAAGCCAGAATTTTACCCCCAGTTTTTAGGTAAAAACCACTAAAGTCTGACCTGACCCTCACCTGCGGGACCACTTGGCCGACGGCCGTCCGAAGGGCCTCTTCCACAGCACGCCGTGGAGCTGCACCTTGGTGCTGATGTCCAGAACCTCAGAGTCCGACTGCTCCATGGACGACCAGGGCGAGAACAGAGAGTTTCTGGATGAGGACGAGAACATCCTCTCCGGCTTCCCTCGCCCTGAGAGGAGGGGCGAATTTTACCAACAAAAAAAAACAAAGAATCAATAACAATTAGTCCAACAACACCCGATAGCACACAAACGCATGAAGGGGCTGCAGGGGCTGCAGCGCTTCAACGCAAAGCAAAGAAGCAAACAAATCCCAATAACTCAGCAGGGTGGAATGATGCAGCTGCCAATACGCTCATCAGCTGGAGGCAGACTGACTGCACAGAAGAGCAGCGATGAAAACAGGATGACAGAGGGAGGGAGGATACTGGGCTTTAGGAAGGAGCTGCTAAATCTGAAGCTGGTCGATATATTCCAGCCAGTAAAAGCCGTTATTCAGATTACAGTACCGGCACCAAGCAGCAGCAGCAGCAGCAGCAGCCTCCAGCTCTTGGCAGGTATGAACTCTGTGGTCTCTCCATCCATCCATCCATCCCTCACTAACTCCATCCCAGCAGCGAATTAGGAGGGCATCTGGGCTGGAGGCGTGGCTGCACGGCTCTCTAGTAAAGAGGATGGAGAGCCAGAGCAGTCAGCATGCAGCTTTTAGCGTCACGAGTATCAGATTAATTTACAGAACATGTGTCAGAGTGGATGGACGGCAGATTATAAAGATACCGACAGCTCAGCTTCCAGGACACAGTCTGAGTGCAGGGGAGGGTTTAAAATCTCTTAACAGGGCAGAAAAGACTCTAATATTTACATGTAATTCAACATTTAAGTAGACAAATCCCACAATTTCAGGAGGAAAAAAAAAAGCAACAGAATAAAGTGCTTTAAGTGATAAAGTTCAGGTTAAATCACTACAATGTACCCGAAACATTTTCACCAGTTAAAAAAACTTTAATTTAGTCGTCATAAAACACGTCGCTTTACAACAGTTTCTCACAATCAAAAGTATGGAAATAAGGCAGACTCATTCTGGAATGACAGAAAAAAATAAAACAGAAACAGAAACACGCCGACCTCCATTGAAACCATCACAACCGTGAACAGCCCCACGATGTGCCGCCATCTCTCAGCCTGAGCATCAAAACCACCTCAGAGGATTCATTCTTCTAAGCGGTGATCACAAGTGTTTCGTATATATGGATTATTATATACAGATGAGAGTTTAATATCCATCTACATAAAATGTGATGCAGTCATTTGCTCGTTTTACCTGCGCTGTCGATCTAAACCCATCAAACTCCATCAACACAGTCTTTTATGTGAAGCTCTTAATAAACAGGAGCTAAAGAGTTTCCTGCAAACTTTAACTCTGATGAATATTTTCTCTTGCTGAGAAAATCTTGACATTTTAAAGTTTTCAGGGACTTAATCTGGGACTACTTTGACAGCTGTAGTGTGGTTTTTGAAGCCAAACTGTCAAATACATGATGGATTTAAGGTTTAAGATTTTCTCTTTTTATAAGCAGTAAAGTAGGGACATTTTTTATTTAACCCTCTGAACCCTAAAATCTGCAACAAGTTTGAAATAATAAATCAAATCAAAAATGACACCATTTGCCTGTAATTTTTTTTTTAAGAAGTCAATTTTCACACAGTCCATGAACTAATCTTCTGTGCTGTTCAATCAGGAAAATGAACCAAATCGAATCATAATATTTGATCGAAAATCACTTTTTTCTGTCTCGTTTAAATAAATTGTTTGATTGAATTAGAATCTGAGAAAAAAACAAACCTTAACAATAAATCTGCACTCCTTGGTACGAGCAACAGTTCAGACTATTTCGGATAAACTTGGCTGAACTGTAGGCAGCGTATACACACAGCAGAGTATGCAAACAAACTAAAAATGTAAACAGTTCATGATCTATTGCATGTAGAACCTCCATTTTCCCCCCAATACTCATTACACCTGTGAGTACTTACAAAAATGTCGTACATGTCGATTTAACGCTTTTACATTTTTGTAAAATTCGATAATCAGAAAAAATCTTAGTTTTTCTATCGCTTCCTTTTATTATTGTTATACTACGCAAAAGTGTAGCTTCTGAGTTCTAAACTTCTAGTCATGGTTGCTCTGTTTCCATAGGAGGTTCAGGACTTTTTACTCTTGTAAAAATGATCCCACAGTGAGGAAAAATGTGAGAGGAGCTAAATTGAACCATTAGCCAAGAAAACAATCAGAATAAACAATACTGACAATTATTATTAGTTACAGGCCTAAAAGACGTGTGCAAAGGATTGTGAAAGAATCTGGAGGTCTTTCATTGGGATGAAAGGTGTAAATGCCAAATGTCAGCAGGGAATGTGATGCAGCAGTGTTTAGAGATGAGATGCACATCATGAGGCTGCCCACCAACACAGCGGAGGGAGAGCTTCCCTTTTGTAACCACAAACTGCTTCACGTAAACACAACGCAGCCGTGCAGCTTCTTTCTCTGGCAGAGAGGCTAAAAACATCTCCGTGGCTTTTCTCTTCCTCACATCAGCTGGAAATAACCGACCAGTCGTGTGTAAAACTGTTGAATTTGTACATAAAACTGAGACTCCTCGGACAGTCTGTGGCCTCTTGAGTCAATGACGTCCCAAAAAACACAAAAACAATCAGGATAGAAAACAAAAAAAAAAAGAAAAATGTATTTGTGAGTAAGCAGTTCCGTCTCACGCCAGAAACCATGACGACCGTGGAGGGAAGAAGTTGCTCTGTACAGTATACATACATACATACTTACATACATATACATGAGCTCTGCTGTGAGCAGGCACAGTGAAACATTAACGCTCAGATATCCACATGTCCTGATTGAAGAGGGAGCAGCCTGCGCACAGTTTGATGCACCCAGCCGGTTACCGCCTTAATGGAGCCGGAGCAGAGACGGGGAAGTCGGGGCGGGGCTGCGTTCCAGAGCTTCTAACCGTCAGATCTCGATCACATAACAAGCACTGCTGAGAAACAAGCGCCCCAGTTTCACTTTTTGATGATTATTGCTCATCTATGATTAATTAATGAGGAGTGAACCAACTAAAATTAAAAGCAAAAAAAAAAGCTCACATTTCTCCTGAGCCGACGGTACCTATACGCTCTCTATAAGGCAAATCTCCCAGGATAACCCTCCACCTCTAAATAAACTTAGTAACACTCTATACAATCACGTAAGACAATTCTATACAGACGTTTCTCTGACATTTGCTGTCCAGGGTTAAACAGAACAGAAATTACCGCATCCAGAAACGGATAAAACAAAAGTGACAGTTCAAGTTGTGACATGAGTGAGGTTGGTTGTGTTTCTGTCCTCACACCGGGTTCAGGCTTCAGAGGACTGGACCGTGAATCAAAGACAAGCTTCTCATCACGGCAAGAAACAGGAGCTTCTTCTAGCAGCCCAGGACCCTCCATAAACTAAAAATCATCTGGTTGACCTCATCCTGCTTCGTTTCCGTCTGCAAGACCGCCGTCTCCTGCAAACTGTGACATCCTTCTTCAGGGACTCGTTCCAAACTTGCTAATATGGCACTTGAAATTCTGTTCAAATTCATCTGTATCGATGCTATTTAGATTTAAATTCTGTACAATTATTCTAAAAAAAGTGAGTTTCGCTGCTTTACATTTGTCTAAATCTCGCTGTGCAACTGTCATCTAGTAAAAGATCGCTGTAATGAAATCGGGGCTGTTTCTTTGACTCTGAATGCTGAACAAAAACTCCACTGTGATCTAAACAAACTGAACTAAAAGCTCCATCTCTTCCCTCATGTAAATAAAAAAAACAAAAAAAGACTTCTGGTGGAATGAATGCAAACATACAGTAGCTGTTTTCATGTTTTGTTGTCAGTGTCAGCAGATAAAACACGTGGCTCGGCCGTCACTGCAGCAACTCGTTGCCCGTTTTCATTTTTCAAGTCAAAAGACGTCCCTGCGAGGATCCTGGTCCACGACGGTCCGCCGGCAGACGACACACGATAAGACATTTAACTCCACGACGATTGAAGTCTCTGTTTCGGCTTCTTTCCCTCCTGTACACCCGTCTGAGATCCTAGTGGTGGTGGCCGACGGACAGCACCAGAGGAATGAGGCAGCCCAGCACCAGAGCTCCCACCTCCACTTTGCTCAGTCCCTTCCCTCCGTTGCCGCCTGCAGCAGCGTGGCTGTGGCCGCCGCCGCCGCCGCCGCCCACCTCAGGCAGGACGTGGACGGTGGCCACGTAGAGGAAGGTGCCGGCAGAGAAGAGCATGGCGACACCGGTGGCGTTGACGTCCGACAGAGCCTCTTTGCTGCTCTGAGAAAGACAAACAAACAAAAACACTGTAAAGCGAAATGTTCACGTTGAAAATTCCCCCTGAGAGGAAACAGCTCCACTCTAGTGGCTCAAATGTTGATGAAAAGCCTTTATTGTATCATTTAATTTGGATTTTATGGGGCAAATAAAATGTCTTGTGTCAACATGTTTGGTAAATGTTGCTTGAAGACAGCTCCTGCCTTGTACTTTACTGAGCTGGTTCCTTTCATTGTTTAAAAAGGATTAAAAACATGACGGCTGGTTCGCCTCAGGCTGGATGCTCTTTCAAAACCAAAAGATCTTCTGTCAGACAAGTAAGACAAGGTTTTTCCTGTCTTAGAATGAATCTCTGGGGCACGACTACATAGAATAGTAAGAGTCTGTGTTAGGTTTTGTGACACAAATATGAGCATTTTTCCTTATTTCTGATCATTTCACCAACAAAAATGTCCGTGAGGTTCACATAAATGAATCACCAGCTAACAAAACAAACTCTTTTTGGTTAAACCTCTTTATCTCTACGCAGGAAAAACACTGGTGAGACGCTTTTTGCCTGAGAAAGCTGCATTTGTTTTGCTCAAAAGACAAAATGTCAATCAAAAATCAAAGAAATTATTTTAGTAATCATATTTGACACTTGACAAAGGACCAACACAAAAACATATATATGTATAAAAATACAACAACAGTTACCTGACTGAGGCCTAGAAACGTGAGCATGGCGAGGACGGGCGCCGCCAAGGCGAAGACCAGCAGGTGTTTGCGGATGCGGTTCCTCTCCAGACCAGCGTGCATCAGGAACGACACGAGGCCGAAGGCTGCCGGAGCCTGCAGACAAACAGTTAACATAGATTTACAGTTTACTGAAGCAGCTAAAGACTGTTTGATTCATGTGCTAATTATCTTAAAAATGTCAAAAAAAAAAAAAAAAGAGAAAATCGTTCATCATAATCTCCCAATTGCCTTTTTTGCATTGAACAAATAAGACATGGAAAGAAAAGTTTCTTAAATCAGAACAAGTAAATGTTTGATTGTGAACTTATCTGGTCACCAATTCTCAAAATAATGCTCACTTAACTGGTTCTGCTCTACAGTTGCCACATAAATCTAATACATATATACACAATGTGAATCCCATAAAGCTACACAGTCAAAAACAGAAGAGGAAAAATTTTGCCATTTACCTAAACTGACATAAGAAAGAAAAACAGGTGTGTGCACGTGATGCTAGCGCAGTAAAGAGAATGCGTAGGTGGAAATATTTACTTGCAAGAAAGCATTTATGCTCTGAGTGCACAAATGCGTGACTTAATTCTCCCCATGCAACGTTTAATTTCTTGTAAGGTTAAGTTTTAAGTCTTTGATTGTCCACTTCCCATCGTCTGCAGCTTGTGTCTGACCCTCTGACACTGGTGGAAAAAGTCGTAGTACTCAGACCTTCAGTAAAAGTAACAGTACTGCAGGGTAGAAATACTCTGTTACAAGTAAAAGTCCTGCAGTCAAGCTTTGAATACAGTAAAAAGCACAAAAGTATGAGTGTCAAAATATACTTTAAGTAACAAAGGCATAGTACTCATTATGCAGAACGGTCCATCTCAGAATAATGTGTATCATATAACTAGAATATAATTATTGACGCAGAAATGTGTCATATTAATGTTAAAAGAGTAAATTAAGTTGATAGTTTAAATGGAGTAAAGTTTCATTCTAATGTAAAAACAAGGTGTGGCTGCAGGACTTCCTCAATAATGACAGCTGACATTAGAATTTATTTGTTGATCATGTTTCATATTAATAAGCTGAATATGCTAAATAAATAGTAACTAAAGTTATTGAGTAAATGTCGAGGAGTAAAGTCTGCAATTTGTAGTGGAGCAGGAATAAAGAGTTGTAAAGTAAACCAAACTGTACTTCAGTGTTTGATTAAATGTACTCTGACTTATTTTTATAAATCACAACATGTTTCGGCTGTTGACTGACGTTCATGACAACTGCTTCATGATTAGAAGTCAGTACTGGTATTTAAACATTTTCCTTAGTCGCCGTTATCTCTCTGTGGTTTGCAAACAACATATTGACATGTTCATTTAGAATTCTTCACTTCACCTTGAAGAATCTGCTTTTTGTTACTCCAGTGATCGACCATGTTGTAAAGACAGTTACCAAAAAAGTCAAAAGCATTTAGTTAATCAGACAATAGCTGCAAAAACCAATTAACGCTGCTTGTATAACGATCAAAGAAGACGAGTTATCAGCCCCTGTCAGCCCGCCAAAGTCTCTAGAGTCAACTTGACTCACGTGCACACACCTGTTGTTCAGGTTGTGAGGCTAATTAAACAATTAAGTGTGATTCCACAGTTCAGGACGTGATGTACCTTATGCAGCATGATTGCTACGAAGACAATGAGCTGAACGCTGGTCTGAGAAGTCGAGGCAGCAGCTCCCAACGCCACACCATCAGCTGGAGAGAAAACACAAGAAGACAGAGAGCTGCTGAGCTCCTTCTAGTTCTAGTAGTTTGGTCATGAATACAACAGCATTAATAAAGCTTTGATTCTGATGTAGGAAGTAAAATAAATCTCGATACTACAATTTGTCTCAGTTGAAACTAAAATTCGTTGTCAATCAACATGTAAACTTGCACATTTTTAAAATTTCTGTCAATTTTGGAAAACAGAAATAGTGACAGAAACAGTTATCGTCTATTACAGCAAAGGTCATCTTCACTTTAAAATCTTGTCCAGCAGCATCGTCCCCAGACCTACCTGCAGCGTGAACCACAAGACCCAGCGTGGTGGTGATTTTTGAGGAAGTGACTCTCGCTGACTCTGGATCTAAAAAGACCAAAGAAACACAAAACTCAGATGCTGTTTTTCAACGAGCAAATGTTTAGCGGCAAAGAAATTAGAAATGACAGAACAACGTCTACACACTGAGTTAGAAATGTGTAGCATCACGTGTTGGCAGACTTTGTAAACAGTTTGCTGGGAATTAGCGAATAAAGATCTCAGAAATCGTTCTGTGCATCTGGGAAAACAGTTGAGCCATCTGGGTTTGGTTTTGGTTCTAATTCAACAAATATTCTTCCATGTCTGGGAGCCTGACAGTAGCTGAGGTGCCTAATCTTCTAAGTCTTCCCCTTGCAGCACTGACCCTCAGTGTTGTGAACGTGAGAGCTGCCTATCTGGTCCACCAGCAGCATGAAGACGAAGCCCAGGACCAGAGACACTCCGATGCAGGCGTGGAGCTGCTCGTGACTGTGCTCGTGTTTCCCGCTGCCGCCCAGAGCTGCTTCTGCTTCGACCTTCGTCTCGGACGCTTCCACGACTCCTGCCTGGCCGTGGCTGTGGTGTCCGCCTGCAGGACGACGGGTCAGGAGGGAACAGAAGAAGGAATGTTTAATGACACAAAACCAAAGAGTTTCACGTCACATATCCTGACACTGCTGAGCCACTACAAGTCCAGCTAATGTGTAAATCATGACAAAACAAACATCTGTTACGTAAAACAAATGATGTCAACCAGCTGTACTTTACTATTTGCTGAACTTTGCTCTGTTTGAACACGATTCAAACTGTTAAACATGCACAGGCAACTGTACAAACTGTCTATTATCTGTCTACATTTCCCTCTAGATGTGTTCCAGCCAGCATGAAGGCATCTGAAGCTCTGACAAAAACCCAACAGAGTACTATCGCCATAAAAGAGTGCAAACAGTAGGAAAGGAAATAAAGGATGAGAAACACGCAGCAAAGATCCCCCGCTGGACTCAAACTAGGGATATTGAAAATTCATTGTCAGTGCATTCAAGGCAATGCACAACCTGAAAAAACTAACTGGAAGCTGCAAAAAAACAAGAGCCACAAACTACTGCCAAAATCAGAGAAGCACCAACTGTTCAAAATATTGTCTGCTGTTTGTGGAACAACTAAACAAGCCGACGCTGAGAGCTGCCTCCAGGACTACTGGGGCATTAACTGGTATCACAAAATTAATCTTCCCACTGAAATCTGGACACCAGTGCACTTGATCAACAGGATGTGCAGTTTTTAAGAGTTGTATTATTAGATCTTAATGTATGCACTGCTAATGCCTGCCAGGAAAGCAGCACTGATAACTGGAACTGAAATGCGAGCTGAATAGATCCGCCAATTAATGAATTAGTGGACAGAAATGTAATCTGTAAAAATAGTCAGTCAGCTGTTTAATCTAATTATCAAGTAGGAAAGCCAGATGTTCTCTGCCTACAGTGTCTCTAGTGTGCTGACTGGCTGCTTTCCTCTTCGATAAATCAGTAAGATCAGTCATTAACGTTGCATTTTTGGGTATTTCGTCTTTAGCGTTAACAAAATTCACCCCAGTTGATTTAATTGTAAACTGAATATCTTTGGATTTTGGAAAACAAGCAGTTTGAAGACGTCACCTTCTTCTGTTACGATTTACTGTCCTTCAAAAGACAATAGGAGTCCTTAACACAATCAGCAAAATCAATAATTAAAATAATCATTAGCTGCAGGACAATTTACTTTTTTCCTTTACTTACAGGCTCTTTTTCTCACTTACATTTTCAGAAATCTTTTGATTATTTGGTTGATAAAATGTCAAAAAACAGAGACCAATTCCTGCCAGTATTTTTGGAAAGCAGATGGTAATTTCTTTAAACCACTTGTTTTGCATAAATCCATTCAAAAACCAAATAATTTTTTCTAACAATTAGAATGAGAAAATCTACCAAAGAGAAAACATGCAAATCAACACACTGGAGGCACTGGAAGCAGAGAACATCCGGCTGTCTTGGTTGATAAATGAACTGAACAGCTGACAGATTTGTTTATCTCTTATTTTTATTCATTTACATCTATTTCAGCAGGACAGTCTAACGCACTGTCCGTACTGTTTTCCAGGCATTTCACAGCGCTGACATTATGAACAAAATCATAAAACAATATGACAGTCATTGAGGACATAGCACTGGGCTTTGCAAAACTGTGAAAGCCATAATTCCTTACATTTTTTAACCGTTTATGGACTAATTAACCAAACAATAGTCAAGACAAGAGCTTAGCCACTAAATAAAATCAAAACTGCAATTCTAAACAGTGCAGATCAGAAAGGGTGCAGATTAGGATGTATTTTCTGCAGCTTGTCTGATTCAGGGTTTAAGCTGCCATGTCACTGTTTGTTTGTTTTTTACAAATTTGACCCGTTCTCATTACGTGACAGTCACACTAAACATTTATTAAATCTAACACATACTGACTATTGAACTGGAGCCTCAAATCAAATCATAATATCGATCCAATTTTTGACATTATGGCTTAAAAGTGATGCAGCTCTACAGTTAAGTAGGGCTGCAACATGTGATTATTTGTCAATTTAATGCACAATATTTCATTTTCATCTCATTTTTCAGGTTGAATATATGTTATTATCATGTGATATTACTTATTGCGTCGGTATCACTGCCAGTGTTACTTTTTACTGTTTGATTCCAGCCTCATTTTAGCTAATTTATTTTATTTCAGTAATGCATCGTACTTATATGTTATTGCTTTTCTACTCTGTAGGCACTGCATTACTTGGGTCATTTAGTTTTTTCTCAGCAATATCTGGCGCAAGAATTTTCCGTCAAGCTCACTAAAGTTTAGTCCCAACATATCTTTATTGTTGATTAACCTGTTGATCACTTTCTCGGTTTATTGATCAGATGATCAGGGTTCTCCAAAGCTCAAGATGACCTCGTTTTTATTTTTCCTCCCAAGATATTCAGTTTACTATTATAAAGGAAGCAAAGAAAATAGGAAATATTCATGATTTATACGATTTTTTTTAACCCTTAAAACCGATTAATCGATTATCAGAGTAGTTGAAGGTTAATTTAATAGTTGACAACTAGTCGATTAATCCTTGCAACTCTGTTAAACTTTACCTTCAAGGATTTCCTCATAAAGTGCATGGACCCCTTCAGGAATGATAACAGCCAGTGCAGTCCCACACAGCAGCCCAGCTCCCAGCACAGTGACCAGCTTCAGCTTCTCCTGCACAAACACACACACACAAGAAACCCCTCAACACAACAAAGTCTCGGTGTTTTAAAGTCCAGCTGATTATCTGATAGCATCACAGAGCTCATGATGCGATTAAAGGCACCAACAGAGGGGAACTTTTGAGATGCTACCAATCCGGAAATGTGGCTAAAACCAGTGTTGTCTTTTGCAAAACTCACCTCGGAGAAGTTGACAGCTAAAGGTATCGTCCCGGCCACGTAGCATCCCACCAGCATCGCCAGAGACAGCAGGCTGATCGAGCTAAAATCGTCCATGACTGCACTTTTCTCTTCGGCTAATATGCTAAGCTAGCTAAACCATCAAATCCACCAACACTTTTAGCACCGTGTTTTATTGGAGCCCGTCGGTTTAACTAGCATTCCCAGAAATATACCTGCTAGTTATCTGTTAATTTAACGGGTCTCGTTTAGCGACCAGACATCCACGTTAACCAGCTCCGAGACGCTGCAGCCGCCGGCCTCGATAATGTTAGCTTCGTGCTAAGCTAACTAGCTTCGGCGCGTCTCCGGTTCTCAGTCCTCGTGAACGCAGAAGCCCGGTTCGTTAACGTGCCCGTCCGAACATCCGAGACCCAGCATCGCTTCTGCCGGGTTCAGCTGTCGAGAAATGCTATTGCAACTTCCCCGACGAGGTGAGCGGTCAGCTAGCAGGCTAACGGAACATCCTCTTGTTTGGAACCGATCGAAGCGCTGCCGGGTCAGAGTTCAGCCGCTCAGGTAGAAGCTGCCACGTATCCGCGGGGCTGCTGGAGGAAGGAGAGCCGGCAGAGGCGGCGGTAGCATCCGGACACAGCGGGGGGCCCGGCCCGGTGGTGTGCCAAAAAGTGGCCCTCTGCAAATAACTGACTGCAGTCCACAAAAGCAATTATTATTCATCTCCTCTGTCTTCTACATGAACCAATGCAGTCTCCTTCTTCTTCTTCTTCTTCTTCTTTTTAACCAGCTGCAATAACTTTAAAGGACAGGTTTAACTCATATAATGGCGTTTTCCACCTGCCAAAAAAAGATCCTCTGCAAAAAAAAAACAAAAAGAAAAAACAACTGATTGCAATCCACAAAAGCAATTATTATTTACCTCCCTTTGTTCAACACCATCCAATTCCATCCTTTTTTACCAGCTGCAATAACTTTAAAGGACAAGTTCAACTCATATAAAGCCATTTTCCACTTGCCAAAAAATGATCCTCTGCAAATAACTGACTGCAGTCCACAAAAGCAATTATCCACCTATCCACCTCCTCTGTGTTCTACATGACCTAATTCAGTCCTTTTTACCAGCTGAAATAACTTTAAAGGACCAGTTCAACTCATATAATGGCATTTTCCACTTGCCAAAAAGTGATCCTCTGCAAAAAAAAAAAGAAAAAAAACTAAATTAAATCTTGTCCTCAGAAGCAATTACTATTCACCTCTTCCATGTTCTACATGATCTAATGCAGTCCTTTTTTTTACCAGCTGAACTAGCTTTAAAGAAACAGCTTAACTCATAATGGCTTTTTTTCACCTGTCAAAAAGTGACTGCAGTCCACAAAAGCAGCTGTCCTCGTGTAGTTGCATAATTTCAGAAATGCATGCAAAAAAAAGGTCACGTTTCCTACAGTACATAGCGTCACAATTTATAAGAATTTTCCTCTGACAAAACTTGAAAATGCTGCAACCATAACATTAAATTTTTATTATTTTCTTGTACTTTCTATATTTTTGGATGCTGCTGTGGCGTGTAAATTTCCCCCAAAGTGTGATCAATAAAAAAGTATTCTATTCTATTCTATAATATATTTACATCACATTGTACAGGCAGGCTATTAGAAGTAAGCAGCTGCTGCAAACCAAGCCATGTAAACATATATTTTTAATTAATAATATTGTTTTTTTTTCTTTGTCTCACAATTTCTTTACCATGTTTTCTCCTCAGGTTTTCTCTTTTCCACCTGCTTTTTCTTTCTTCTATGTGTGATAATAATGTGTAACATGAGCTCAGTAGGACTAACCTACGTTGCTTTGCCTCGAGGATAGTGTCTTATATTTATATTAATTTTACCCTCATTTACTTTGAAAACAGTGTAATTATAATGTTAGAATCTACATATTTTTGGGCAGGTGATGTGCCATAAAGAGATTGTCTGCCTAAAACTGATTGCAAAAGCAGCTATGCTCATGCTTCTGTGTAATTTAACCTCCTCTGTTCTACATTAACCAATTCAGTCATTTTTTTACAAACTGAAATCATTTTAAAGGACCAGTTCAACTAAACTAATGTCAATTGCTACTTGATAAACAGTCATTTGCAGAACCCACGTTGTGACTGAAGTGTTGATAGTGCATCAGAATGACTTGATTTTTTTAATGAGTCATACTTTATAGACTATAAGCTTAAGAAGAAAAGAGGTCATTTCTTTATTTTACATGTAAAATAAACCCAGAAATCATGTAAATTACAGTCTAAACACGGATGTTAGACTCACCAAACACATACAGCCTCATCTTTCTGTGCCGAGCTCATGTTCCACATTAATATCACACTGATCGCACTTAGTTTACATGAGAAGCATCGAGTCCCAGCAGACATGCAAATGTGTATTTTGCAGTCATCTGTGTAGATTCTTGGTCATCCAGGTCATGGTAGTCCTAGAAACTTTGGTAAAAAGGCAGCTATACTTATTATTTATTATCCCATCTTGATTATAAGATGGGATAAAATAAGCATTTCATAATCTAACAGTGGGGGAACTTGCAGTGGAGCAGCAAAGTCGATGATGCCAAAAATGTATTGACATCAGCAGGAAAATAAAATAAACAATGAATACACGTAAGAACTGTTGCTATGATGTGATATATGTAGTAGTATCTTTCTATAGTTATCTAAACCTACTATATTAATGTCCTTAGTGTGTTCATACTGTATATATGCATTCTACTGCTTGTTCTACACGTCTGGTTAGATGCTATTCGTTGTCTTAGTACTCTGTGCAATGACAATAAAGTTGAATCTAATCTATTGTACAGATTATTCTGTATGTATGAATTTAGATATTGCACAGATTCATCTGATTGAGGAAAACAATGTAATGCACAGGGTTATTCAATATGCAGAAAAACACTGGTATTGCACAAATTCTTCCAAGAGTAAAAAATATTGATATTAAGAAATACTGATATTACACACATTCTGTTGGTTTTGCAGATTGTTCTACATGTAGAAAAAAAAATGTAATTTTCAGTGAATATTTGTTGTGATTTTTATGTCCCAAAGTTTCTCTATAATGGCATTTCTTCAGGTTTCCTCTTCTACACCAGCACTAGACTGTTTCTTTGTTAGTCATGTCTTTTTAAAATCTTCTTAGTTCAAACACTGATGAATTTAAACCTACAAAATCTTGTTAAAATACATACATCTAAGTGGGCTCCATTGCACAGTTCACCTGTACAACCCAGAACACATTCACCATATCCCACTTTGACCGCGTTCTTGCTGCTTTATTGTTGTGTTATGATGCCTGAGTTTTGTTTTTGCACAATGTCTTTGGGTGTATTATTATTATTAAACTTTAAATTCTCATATAAATTGTCCACTTTAAGCCCAGTAAAGGTCAGCATCTGTGCTGTCAAACTCTTGTTTATGCATTTTGGTTGTTTTTTTTAATGAATTCAGTACAGTTGGATGTTTGATATGAATAAAACTGTTTTTTAACTATCAGATTAGCAGTGAGTACATATTTAACACCAGTTGTCAAACCTAAATGTTTTCCCCACTAATCACATCACTGTACAGAAATGTAAGAGGTTTTGAAGTTGTAAATAAAGCAGCAGAAAAGCAACGATTCTGGCCAGTAAAATAAATAATTAACTAAAAAAAAAAAAAAAAAAAAAAGCAGAGTAATCTAATAGTAATAAAAATGGACAATAAATTTATATTTTCTAAAAAAAAAAGCATATTTATTAGTTCACACAACGGAGCAGTGCCTCCACACAACACCAGGAAATCAAAGCAGAATGTGTCCAACATATCGGCGAACAGATGAAACAGGTGAAATGCGACTGTCTTTTTTTTCCTCAGATGCATCAACAAAGGACAAAAAAAAAATACAACCAAAGTTTTATCATGCAGCATGTTGGTGCAAACCCTCTCTGTTCACAACTCAGACTTTCTCTTACAAACACACATACATACAAGGCAGCAGCTCCTTGCTGATGGAATGGAGGCGTTATGGGCACGTTTACAGTCTGCTGGACCACAAAACTGCAGGCAGCAGCGCTGACAGCTTAACAAGTCACTCAGAGAGACTCGTGGTCTTTATTTCACCAGTCCGATCTTCTTGGCCTCTGTTTCGTATATCAATAGTCGCCACATTTTTACTATGAAGACTTCTGCTTCCTCATCCAGAACCTAAACACAAACAGGACAGTTAAACTTTAAATCAGAAAGCTCAGTAAATCCATGCAAAACCTGAGTATAAATTTGAGGTGCTTTACTTTCTTACTTCTGCATATTGTACTTTTTACTTCACTACATCCATCTGACAGATTTAGTCATTTTCCTTATTCGAATTTTTGCAGACGAAACATATGAAGAACGTATAAAGTATGTTTTGTTATAGATTAACCTCCAACAGTTTATACACTTGACCTGAGAGACAATTGGCAAATATTTAGGTGATTTTTTTAGAGCACTTGTGATTGCATTACTCAATATTTTAAGAATTTTTACAAACCAAACAATGACTCGATTAATGGGAAAATAATTAGCAGATTAATCCATAACAAAAATAATCATTTTACGTAAGTAAGTAAGTAAGTAAGTAAGTAAAATTTATTTATAAAGCGCTTTTCCCAGACAAAAGTCACAAAGTGCTTTAACATTAATAAAATACAGACACAAAATTGCAAAAACTGCACAAAACATAGATAAAAGCACAGTACACAGCATAAGAGCCTAGAAAAGAAATTAAATAACACCAGTACAGGGCAAGAGAATACAAAATTACCTAAACGCCTGTCTAAATAGGTGTGTCTTTAGCTGGCCTGACGTGAAAGCACAAGCAATAATAGTTAAATAACATAAGATATAATAGTGGAACAACCACACCTGATGGTTTTCTGCATTGAAAACTTCTACCTTGTGATAATAAATACACACTTTTACATAAGTAACATTTCTAATTCAATAAAGCTTTATTCTAATTCTAATTCAGGTCTTTTACTTGTAACAGAGTACTTTTGCACGATGGTATTCATATTTTTACTCTTGTAATCCATCTGAATACTCCCTCCATCACCAGTTTTAAATCTAAACTCACACTGTGCACTTAAAAAAACTAAGTTATCCAGGATTCCTTTCCACAGCTACTGTCTCAGCCACCCTAAAGGCAGGTTGTTGATCTACTCTGAGCACATCTTCATAAAGTTAAAAGGTACAGTAGAGGAAATCCTTATTATCCCCAAGAGACAATTTAGCTTTCAAGCTGTATTTGATGGCCATCAGGTGGCATATATTGACATTATATAAATATGTCACAACAAAAATAATAGCTTAAATATGCCACCAGGGCCATAAAATTAAATAAGAGTAGATAAGAAATAGATTGAAGGAAATATTTTAATGTCTTGTTTAACAAGTCAGTAACAGATGGGACATAAGACCTCAAGCATCTCTTGAACCTGACGTGAAATTCCTCAGCCATCTTAGTGGCTTTG